TTCCCTCTCTTGCAGTTAATGTTGAAACATTTTACAACTACATAAGTCACAGAATATAAGTTATTCTCTTAATGTATATTTTTCAGTTATTGATCTAATTAACTCTTCCCATTTTATTATTGTTCAGAATGTGCTCAGAAATAGTTTTTTGAACTATTTCAACCTTCTCTTTGAATTTGATAGTTATCAATATTTTTCAATTTTTAACAACAGAAAGCTTCACCAGATGACGAGACCTTTAAATATTCTATTTTATCACCTGCATTTTATCCTTTGATTCCTTCCTTGTTGGTTGTGTTGGTTGTACACTGAGATCTCAAACCTATCCACTGTTTGTGTAAAGACACAACAGTTAGACAAGTCTGTCTGTGTGGAGAAGGAAGGTTTAATTTTCATAAAACAAACAAGCTCCAGCAGGTTCCCCTTAAATTTAACTGCTTGTAATAATTTCTAAATTTTCCTTCCTCCTGATAGAAAAACTTGCTAATCTCTCAGGATGATAATTAGGAGGTAAACTATTGGCCAAACGTGTTTGTCTGTCCCAACTCAATCTTCTGCAGCTCTTAAAACTTAGAGGTTTGGGAAAAATAAGCAATAAATATTGCAGAGTAAATAGTTAAAGTGGGGAAAGTTGGTGTTTAACAAACCACCAATTTATCATGTTTCCCCTTCTGAAAAACGGAGAGATCTTGGCTTCATAGAACCTGAGCTCCTAGTGTCAGACATTTTGAGAAATTTAGAACTTATTGAATTCTACAATTTTTACTTGAATTTTAAATCGGTATTAGTTTTGTAGTTTCTCAATTCTACCCAAAAACAGATTTTTGTTTTGCTCTCAAATTATAGTTTTTGTACTTTAAGAAAAATATGCACATAAATTTGCTTTGTTTTTTTTGTTTGTTTTGTTTTTTGTTTTTTTAATTATTATTTCCATTGTCTTGTATTTTGTAGATGTCTATAAATTTTGTCCGGATTCTGTTCTGATTTTAATAAAATAATTTTAAGGAAAAAAAAAACACTTAGAGGTCAGCAGTATAACGATATAAAAACCTACGTAATAAAAGGTATTGATATTGGTATCAGTATTAATGATATTGGCCTTTACTTACTTGGTATCGGCTCAATATATTTAGTATTGTTCTCTATTAAATATTTAGTAGAGTGCAGGGAATTCTGGGTAAAATACAAACACGCATGTCGAGTGCTACCAGGAGGAACGAGCCGAGGTTTTTTACCACAGCAAAATCCTACCACTGCTAAAATCTGATGCCACTTCATTTTTGTTTACATAAAGAAGGAATATTTCAAAAATGGAGCAATAAAGTCAGAATAAGAGGAACGATTAAGACATTTTATGGCCAGCAATGATGTCATGGTCGTACTCACCATGTGATCGGATGCAGCACATGTTTCCTGTAAGCTTCATAGCGCAGCTGGTCCAGTGATATTTAAAATGTCTTCCAGTTTCAGATTATTAAAATTTAAAATGTATTGACCTCTGAGAGGGTGTTCTTGCATTATGATGTCATTGTCATTATATTACTTGAAAATGGTCTCAAAACAAGATCATTGTTTACCGCAATATCTTTTGGGGTAGTTTATCATCCAGTAACATTTGTTAAGGTGACAGGCCTTGTTGCATTTGGTTCACCTGAAAACCAAACCCTCTGTGTTAACCCTCAGCAGCAGTACCAAACCCTGCTGCTGTCTCCCAAGGACATGTTTGACTTGGACGGTCCCAATTGCTACTAATGTCCCCTCATTGTCCACTTGGACAGACTTAAAGGTGAGGTGTAGGTTTATGTGAGAGTATGGGCCAGGTTCTGCTGCTCAGAGCGTAGCCCCTCAGTGTTTCCTGGATGTTCCAGTGCCTGTCGGCAGACACAGAGAGCCAGTCATCGGGTCGGCCACAGAGTCAGACTCTGAGCTGTGGGGCTGTGGCTGCTGCAGTGCCAAGCCGGCCCGAGTAAATAAAAAGAGTAAATAAGACATTTGTGCCAGTAGGAGAACAGGATGAACTAGATGACCCCTGGTCTTACCAGATAGCTGCACGTTCCAGCGGAGGTGAGACCACCCTCTGTGGAGTCAGAGCTTCACTCACCATGGAGAAGCGAAGTCCTCATGACATGCAGAGTAACTGACTGTCCTGCATCTGATTTAATGAGGAGGACATCCTCCGGTACAGTGCATCCAGAAGGTATCCACAACACTTTACTTTTTCCACATTTTGTTATGTTGCAGCCTTTTTCCAAATAGAATTAATTAATCATTCTCCACCTGAGAGTCCAGACTTGAACCTCTCTACCGTTTCTAGGGACTGTGAACACTGTGATGCAGCCATGTTTCTAGTATCTGTCCCAATCTAATAAACTGTAAAAATAAATAAATAAATAAAAAAACGAAAGTGGAGCTAAGTTGGTGACATCATATTCAAAAAGACTTGAGGCTGGAATTGCTGTCAAAGGGAAAACAACAAAGTATTTATAACAGGCCGTGAATGTTAATATAAATGTGATTCTTGATTTTAAATTGGCAAAAATCCTTTACCACATTGTCATAATGGGAGATATTTGTGTATATTGTTGAGTAAAGAGATTCATTAGTAGAATCTGGAATAAGGTTTTCCAGATGTGCTGTGTATTATGAGCCCAACACCAAGTAGTGCAAATGTGTAAAATCGTAGGAAAATATTACATGGTCCTAAAAAACAAACCATCGGATATGTGTGACATGCATTTATCAAAATGTCATGACTGTAATTTACAAAGTGTGCTACTTTTCTGTCCAAAATCATTCTGAAACCATCCAAACCTGAACCAAATGAATCAATCTGCTCCTGTTTTTTTTTCCCCATCAGGTGGAGTCTGCTGTGGCAGCCGTCCATCAGGGTCGCCGGGAGCTGCTGGAGGAGGCCTGTCGCTCCTACACCCGCAAACGCAGAGTCCTCATCCCCGAAGACCTGAAGCACATTATTGTGGACGACCAGCATGGCCTGCTGTACTGCTACGTGCCCAAAGTGGCCTGCACCAACTGGAAGAGGGTGCTCATGGTTCTGACGGGAGTCTCCGGTGACCACAAAGACCCGCTAGCCATCCCCGCCAATGAGGCCCACGTCCAGGGAAACCTCCGGACTCTGTCCGAGTACTCCACCCCCCAGATCAACCAGCGCCTGCGCTCATACCTGAAGTTCATTTTTGTGCGTGAGCCTTTTGAGCGGCTGGTCTCTGCATACCGCAACAAATTCACGCGGAGCTACAATACAGCTTTCCACAAACGATACGGCACAAAGATCGTCCGCCGGCACAGGCCAGACCCTCGGCCAGAAGCCCTGGAGAAAGGGGACGACGTCTCCTTTGAGGAGTTTGTGTATTACCTCGTGGACCCCGCGACCCAGCGGGAAGAGCCCTTCAACGAACATTGGGAGCGGGTGCACTCGCTGTGCCACCCCTGCCTCATCCATTACGACGTGGTGGGGAAGTATGAGACGCTGGAGCAGGACTCCCGCTATGTGCTGCAGCTGGCCGGGGCGGACCAGCAGGTCCGCTTCCCCGCCTCGTCCAAAAGCACCAGGACTACTGGAGATATGGCGGCCAACTTCTTCCAGAACATCAGCCCCTTCTACCAGAAAAAGCTCTACAATCTGTATCGCATGGACTTCCTGCTCTTCAACTACTCGGTTCCTGCCTACCTCAAGTTCAGATGAGGCCGGGACGTCTTTCAGACACAAACGTATGGACCTGCTTCTCTTTCTGCTTTCAATGAAAAAACATGAAGTTTTTATATCTGAGCAGGTGAGAAAAACAAAAGTTGGTGAGGACATCCCATGAGGAGATGGGAGTTTCTGCCTCCCGAGGCAAATGAGATTTTATGGAAAACGTGGAGTTAACTGTTAGTCACTGGCTCTGAATGTGTGAAATGCTGTTCAAGTTTTGGTTTTCTGCTGTTTCAAAGGTGAATTTGCACAATAGATAATCTCTCTGGAGCAGTGGTGTCCACACTTTTTGCCATGTTGGCCAAAATTGTAAAGCGGAAAGTATCCATTTGCCACACAAACTTAAATTTTTTTTAAAAATGCTAGATCTAATTGAATTGTTTTGTTTTAGGTTCTTTGCTCGACAATGAACTATAGATGGAATGTGTCAATGATAGAAAGAAGCTATCATTACATAATTAATGTAAGACTAAATTATACTCACTTTTGCCACCATTTGTTAGCAAAGTTTGCGTTGTTTGGACAGCTCTGCTCTAGAGCGAGCAGGAGGAGAACGAATCGTATCCAGATCGTGTGTGGACAGCGAATGTCTCCAGACATGTGCCTTGGATCGTGGGCCTTCATTTTGTCGCTTGGCATAAAGACAGTTTTTCTAACTGTGACTATTGTTCTGGGGGTTTTTTACTGTAGGAAAAGATTTTTTTTTTGTGTAACTATTATTTTAATTTATTATTTCTAGCTCTAAAAAAAAGCCAAACCAAACTAGATATGTTCTTCCATGTCTTTCAAATAAATGCATTTTCACCAAGATGGTTCCATGTGTTTTATTTAACTGAACAAATAGTTTTTTTTCTTATTTTTACAAATGCAGAAGGTCTACAAATTCAGCCGGATGTCGCTGTTATTACTAGTTTTTTCTTTATGGAAATCAAAGAAAAAGAAAAAAGGCTCCAGACAAGAATAAACCATCTGACCTGAAATACTGATGTTTGTCAATAGACAATAACACAAACAAGTTAAATACAAGACCGTTATAGAGTCTGTTTTATGTTGACTGACACACACTCATAATATAATCATCTGCCATCTAACAATAATAATAGACGTGCAATAATTGGTGTTTGCTTGAGTCCATTAAACTGCATGTGAACAATGGAGAAATACTCAGGTCAACATAAACACTTGTTTCTATTGACCTGGTTGGATCTGTGACCTGATTCTGACCAGGAAGTGATCATCATAGCAGAATGAAATGCCAGCTGCGTTCCCATTGATATGTGAACCCATTGATATGTGAACAAACCTTTGTCAGTATTCTGCTAATGTCGAAAAAACACAGTTTCACAATTAAATTGTTTACATGAAATTAAAATCACATGTGAATAAGCTTGTTCACATGATTAGTCATTAAAAATCCTGGCAGCTACTGATGTAAACAGTTCAATGAAATACATCCATAATTCAACAGTTGAGCTTGCGCTAATCAATCATCAGAGTCAATCTTTTTTAATGGACGTGTCTTCCATTAGGCAAATTTATATTCATAATTTCAATCTGCGCAATTTAATGGTTAATGGAAACACCACTTGTGAGGAATGGCTTCATAAAACTAAGATTTAGTGGTGAATTTATCTGTTATTAATACATTTATACAGAAGAGCAATAAAAGTTCTCACATGTGAGTTTATACACATTTTGTGATGTGTCGTTTTACATATCTTAAGTTTTTTTCTATGCTAAACGACCCACATTGTAACCTACATCAATCTTGTAATAAATATTTATTTTGCATAAAGGGATCAGGAGGAATAATTGGTTATTATTTGCTGAGCTTCAATTCTGTTCAGTTTATTTCTTTAGTGCCATTTGACAACAAATGTCTCAATGCTGAACAAAGGAGGTCATTTTAATTCACTCACATACATTTCCTCTCATCCTGATGATCAAACAATGGATTAAGCTCAGCTAATTATTCCAGTTTGTTTGAAAAGTTTCTTTTATTATGGGAACCTCTGATGTTCCGCATACTGAGGGCAAATTTGTGGAGCAGAACTTTTCTCCTTTGAGAAGAACTTCCTGCAGCTCGCCAAAGACATAGAGTTCACTGAAGATCACCTGAACAAGCTGCTCACTATGTGAGCGTTTTGTTTTCCCACATAGTGAATAATGATTATGATAGAATTATGGTTTGATCAAAAGTCAGATTATAGCATCTCTAATTATTAAGTCACCACCAGTCTTTTTATTTCATTTCACATGAGATCCTGGTGCTGAACACATGTGTCAAAGCCCGGCTCCTTTAGGGCTGCCGGTCGTTAGAAACCTGAAGGTCAGGGCCAAGAGAGCAGTTCCCAGCAGGTCCCCCAGAGCCGTGAGGTAGGGGATGGAGTAGTTATCTGGATCCAAGCTCCGCCTCCACAGCCAGCGGATCATCAGGACGGAACAGTAGAGCAGAATCACCAGCTGGAGGACGACGCTGGGCTTCAAACACTGTCCACTTTTTATTATTACTTCTTGCAGTAAAGTGTTTCTAACCTGAAGCACAGCTGCACACAGGTAACAGATGATGAAGGCAGGCAGCAGCTGCACTGTGTAGAGGAAGAGGAGGTGACCCGGTACCACAAGAACTCTGGCTGATTTAGAGTTCACATCTATTCAAACGTGGACAGAGAAGCAAACCTCCAGTGGGTACAATCACTGACACTCACAGCTACAGAGACAGAAAATGTAGAATCACCGATTTAGCCAACAAGTGTGTTAGTTCAGTGGGAGGAAGCCGATGCCTGGGGCCGTTTGGAGGAAACTTCATTCAGTTGTGTTGGTTTAAGTGGCAGACATTTTGTTGTTTGGGCACACTCTGTCTCTTGCTGTTTTAACTTTGATTGTTTTACGTATGAATATGTTCTGAACACAACATTAACTGTCCATACAGGACTTGAAGAAATCTGAACTGAACTGAACTGAACACTAATTTCTCTGACTAAGACACTAATAAAGGAAAAGTATTAAGTAAAATTGACTCTTTAATCTTTGCATCATGTTATAAATCTATTCCCTCATCAGTAAACATACCTGGAGTGTTGCTTTTATTCTTAAAGGTATATTTGAGAAGTCCTTTAATCTCCATGGCAACCACTCAGCTATGCAAAACAGAGCAATTAGCAAACACCTGCTGAACTCCTTCTGCAGTTTCCAAACTTCTGCCTCACAGGACAACCCTCCATTGCTATTCCCCCATTCAGCTCCTCCAGACTAGTCAGCAGCAATTAGCAAACACCTGAAACTAAACACCTGAGCTCATTATAGGAGCTACAGCTCAGAGCAACTCTCACCGCTAAAAATGTTGTGGTGACTTGTTGAAGGCGGAGCTTTAGAAGAAGGAGTTTCTCACAGAGACAGAGGCCCAATTTCAAGGTGTTAAATTATGAAGTCAAATTTATTCGAGACTATATGTATTATTTATATATTTGATATTTATAACATTTATGACAACTGAATGCTAGTAAGAATGGTAGTAATACTAATATATAATTTTTATATGGCTTTTTCAGTCATTCCAAGATGTTTTACAAGAAGATAAATAAATAAAGTTAACATAGTAACTTGCAGTAACTGCAGACTAGTGGGTTTAAACTTCTTTTTTTGGCCTGTCTGTGTAAATGTTGGATTTGTTAATTTTTTAATGTTGTGAGTAAACAAATCTTTCTTTAAGGCACCATAAATAATGAACCTGAAAATGAGATTTTTTAGTGAACATTCCCACTGAAAAATATCAAAACTCATGAAAGTTGTATTTTTATTTCCCAACTAGAGCTCACTATCACAGACATTAGTGAGCTGCTCTGATATTAATTTATTGAGAAGGGGTTAGTAAAGACCCAGGCACCGTTTTAATGTAACGTTGCTGGTTTGACCTGAGGAGCAGAAGGCGGCGCAGGGTCCAGGACAGTCAGCTCTCATTTTCACTGGCAGAGCTCCAGGAACGCTGCAGTAATGCAGGTAGGTGGACATCCTGCTTGCTCGGACCGCCACCAGATTTCCTCCAACTCCTGCGAGAACATGCAAGCATAGAGCAACGGTCATCGCTTCTAAGGAGGAGCGGCAAAAGCAAATGAGATGGAGTAGCTGAGCCGGTCAACGACTGATGTCATCCAGGACAGGTTGCTGTGGAAATGATCTCTGCTGCCACTAAATTCAGGCAACAGTGGAAATGTGAACATTCCATTAGGGCAGATCTATTCAATCTAATTCTATGCTTTGTGCTCCAAGTGACATCATGCTTTATTATTTATTTTATATTTAAAATTCCTAGTCATACTTTCTGAACCGTTTGCAGTTTATTTTTACATGTTTGATCAATTTAGTCAACCTGCTGTTTTTGTCATTTTCCCCTCAACATCTCAGTTCACCTAGAAATTCTGTCCATGAAAGTAAAGAACAGAATCGGTGACAAATGGCAGCCCTGGCAGAGTCCAACTCTCACCAGAACCCAGCCCGACTCACTACTGGCGACACGGACTTGACCCTGACACCGGTCACACTGGGACCTGGCAGCCCAGTGTCTCCTCTTTGGGCTGGGAGCTGCAGGGCCTCCAGGCGCTCGCCATCGTGCCCCCCCTGTGGGCCTGGCTCCAGAGTGGGGCTCCAGTGACCTGCGCTTGACGAGGGAACACCAAGTCCAATGTCATAGGGGTCTTCAGGCCCCTGACCCAGGACCTCACTACCTTGGTGACCCTACCAGGGGCACAAAGCCCCAGACAGCAGAGCTCTGAGGATCACTGGGAAGAGGTGAGACAATCACTTTACTGGAAATCTAATCCAATCCTGTTTTCCATGACTCCTTTCTTTCCCCTTAAACTGTCTAAAAAGACATTGTCAAGTATGTTTGAATTTTTCCATTTGCCTTAAAACCTCTCCAGCTGATTTCATGAGCAGCAGAGTGACTGCTCTCTGCTCTCAGAGCTTTGAAGCACAAGGATCATTGGAACAAAACAGGGAAAGTGTTTCTGGTCAGCAAGGCGTGAGAGGAGAGCCTGCATAGGAATGCAAATGCACTTCCTGGAGCGGGATGGCACAGAACAGCAGCCAGTGAAGGCATAGTTGGCATTCTGATCAGGCTTGTGGTCTATGTAAAGGCCGTTGTTATTGCTCTCCGTTCAGCATGCCGCTTTGTGGTCAGCAGGACTCGGGTCACAGACGATCTGGTCCTCTACGCCCCTCTGAGGATCCTCTGACACGGAGGCCAATCAGACTCTAGTAGCTCTTTCATGGCTAATGATTGATGACGGACTCAGATGTGACGCTGAGCTCGGCCTCAGCAGGGCTTCGGTTTACAGTCAGGCTCTGGAGGAGTTAAAAACACTTAATCCTGTTATTTATTATAAGATTTACTGCTGGCTTCCAGCGTGGTTCAATCATTTCCACATGTCATCATTTTTCTGCTTTGCTCAGAGTTGTTCTCTTAAAAGCAAGTCTTTAGAGAGAGAAACGTTATCATTATAAATCCAGTCACTGTAATTTAAACCATTGTTTTAGCTCAATGAAAAGGATTATAGCAACTGAATTGGATCATCAGTGCTTTATAAGAACACTTTTTACAAAACATCCTTAAACATCTATTTTTAAACAATTGTTCTACTTGTGTAACCTCCTGCAGCCTCTAGCTGTGCTGCGATGGATGAGGTGAGCTTGCATGTAAAATGAGTGGAGAATCAGTTCTGGAAACTGTTTATTCTCACTGCAATTTGACACATTTCTCTGAACTTTAATATTCCTTCAAGTGATTTTGACAAATCTTTCAAAATTTTTCTGATTTTTCCAAATGTCAACTTTAAAATTATCCATAGGTATTATTTAAGAGAAAAGCTTAAATAATACCTATTTAAGGAACCGAGCCTGCGACTATCGCCATGAGGAACAAGGCCTCAACACGAGGGTGGTGCCCTGGCCCTGCACCACCACAGCACCCTACTAGCTGGCTATGTGTGCAAGAGCTCAGGCTGTTGAGGTCAGGCTGAAGGTTTTTTTTTGTTTTTTTTTGTCAATGTTTATCCATCAAACAAAAAGTTAAATTTTTTGTTCCAAAATTTTTTATAAAAACATACATTTCACACATACGTAACAACAAGATTGTGTTCATTCTAATAATCTCTTGATTTTTAGGTCATCACTGCTGTGTGACTAGTTAAAGGGTTCAAAGTTTGTCTAGTCTATTTTAACTCACCGTTGATGATGGGGGTGAACACGGCCATGCCTGCAAAGCTGGGGTTGCTCACAGTTTGATCCAGAATCAGGCCACCAATACTAAGAAGATGAAAATATGACGACATATCAATCAGAATAGAATGGTTTTGTTAAAAATGAGTTACAGTTTTGACTTTTTGGAAATGAAGCTTGTTATCTAAAAAGCTCATGAATCAGTCTTTGAGTTGAGGAAATGATCGGGTGACTCATCACTGGACCACCTGCTGACAGACATGGCCAAAATGACTGGCTGCCATCCTGACTTTAGGACCTCTCTGATTGGTGGACTGCGGCTGGCGATGATGACCCACACGGGGGTGAGCAGCAGGAAGAAGCCCCCCACCGCGGTGGGCAGGTACCACACATCTGAAAGAAAGAATCAGAAGACAGCAATCTGCCTGTGATGACTCAGCTCTTTTCTAGCTCTTAGCAAGAAGTTAATCAGGATTTTGCTGCCCTCCTCTGGTTAAAACAAACTGTTCAAATTCATTAATGATGATTCTGTAAAAAGCTTTCCACATGTTTGTATCACAAAAAATCCCTTTCAGCTACTCCACCTCTGGGATCGTTTTGTTCTTTATTCTTTAAAGTGGCAGTTGTATGTGTTTCCCAGTCATATCGGGTTTTTTTTAGCAAAGTCAAGTAACGATGTTACCTTCAGTTGCTAGAAAAATGCTGACTGTTTCAAATATGACTTTTAAAAAAATTGACTTCCTAATTTAACTCCTTTAAATTGGGCCCATGTCTCTTTAAAAGCTGCTGCTCTTTTTGAAACTCCAGGAACTTATTTCAACATGGCTCCTTTATTAACAACATTTTTAGCAGCATTGCTCTGAGAAGTATTTTATGTAATGAGCTGCTGCACATCACCACTGCTAATTGCTGCTGACTAGTCTGAAGGATTCCTGGGGAGGACTGCTCTGTGAGACGGAAGCTTAGAAAGTGAGGAACTTTGTCCTTGAAGACCCTTTCATCTGAACGGTTGCTGTGGAGATGAAAGGGTTTTTCAAACATGCATGAGGGAATAACATTACGACACAATGTAAGGTTCTTAAAAGTTAGTTTTATACTGTACTGCCCCCTTAAGGTAGGTTGTGTCTCTGACCTCTGAAGGTGAAGAAGAAGCTGCTGACCCCAGCAAGCAGGAACAGGGTGATGAGGTCACCGAGGCCAGCAGCGATGGGCGTGGCCACGTTGTCCGGGTTGACGCCCAGCTTCCTGGAGCCAATAATCACGGCCACCACCAGCAGCCCTGTCTCAGCCCACAGGACAGCCGGCTGAAGCCGTCGCATCACATCAGCTATGTTCTGTTGTGTAAATGAAAGTGTTGAGCGTCGGGCTGACCTAGAGCGAGCGCGGCGATGAAAGCAGTGCTGATGCTGCTGGCACACAGGATGGCAGCCTGGATACCGTTCACCCTCTCTCTGCTCAGACGGCCCAGAGCTACTGCAGCTACGGCAGCCAGGAAGCCCACAACTGTAGCCTGAACCTGGATTCACATTCAATTCAACACATCGTTAAATTCAGACATGGAGGCAAGGACCCACAAACCTGGATGCTTCATTCATCAAGACTATGCAAGTACATCAACTTTATGTAGCAGCTCACTTTTTTAAGGTTTTGTTGGCTCTAGTGGCCCCATTTGAAAGCAGAGCAACAGGAAACAGAGCAACGAAAGAAGGAGAAGACACGCGGAAAATGTCACCAGGCCGGGAACCGAGCCTGCGACCATCGCCATGAGGAACAAGGCCTCAACACGAGGGTGGTGCCCTGGCCCTGCACCACCACAGCACCCTGCTAGCTGGCTATGTGTTCAAGAGCTCAGGCTGTTGAGGTCAGGCTGAAGGTTGACCTTTGACTGACTTGAAAATGAAAGTGGGTTTTGCTTTAAATGAATTCAACTTCTCTAAATCTATTTCCTTCCTTCCATTTCTACTTTAGCCAGAGGTCAGCATCTTATCCATTCATCCAAATGACACCTGGATGAATTTTCTCTGTTTTCAGTCATATGAACAGCTGTAGAGTTTCTGGATCTAGATTAAATGCCACAGGTTTGGAGTGAGTTATTAATAAGATAGAGTGTGTATGTGTGTAAGAGAGAGAGAGAGAGAGAGAGTTAGTGCAGGTCACCTGGATGAGGGCCAGATTACAGAGCACCATCCTCCAGCGCTGCCGAGTCTCGTCCATCTGTCCTGTGTTGGCCTGCAGGAGGGAGCAGATTTACAGAATGATCCCATTTCCTCACCAGTCATTGGAGAAACTTTTCAAAGTGCCGAACACCTCGTCTCATAACAGACTTTATTTTGCAGTGTGTGTTTAGTGTGAGTGCTGCACTCACTGCTGTTGACAGATGGGATTCCAGCGTCATCTCCAGGTTTCCCTTCAGCCCCACAAGAGCCGGAACCAACACAAACACCTGAGAGATCTACTGGAACACCTGCCAGTGCCGACAAGCACAGAGTGGCATAAACAAATCACAAAGTTCTAATCCACATGTTCAGCTTATCCTCATGTCCTTCATTCAGTCAGAGAGAGAGACAGAGACAGAGAGACAGACAGAGAGACAGAGAGAGAGAGTTACAGAGACAGAGAGACAGACAGAGAGACAGAGAGAGAGAGAGAGAGAGAGAGAGAGAGAGACAGACAGAGAGACAGAGAGAGAGAGAGAGACAGACAGAGACACAGAGAGAGAGAGACAGAGAGAGACACAGAGAGAGAGAGACAGACAGAGACAGAGAGAGAGAGAGACAGACAGAGACAGAGAGAGAGTGCAGGTCACCTGAATGAGGACCATGTGAGCCAGATATCTACTACAGGTGTGTAATACTTCAAATTTTAGTATTGATCTGATACCAATACAGGGTTGTTTTATAAGTTTGATACATGATCAAACTTCTAATCTTTAGATGTTTTCATGGTTTATTTATTATTGAGCTTTTAAAAATTCATGCCAAGTTCATAGGCGTCTACAAAATGCTTTAATGAGACGACAAAACAGAAACAACAGAAAACCTGTGTTCATTTTTCATAGATAAACAAAGTGCAAAAAAATATAATTTGAGGGCAAATTAAAACAAAATCTTTTCAAAATAGAGTTAAGAAACTAAAAGCTAAATGTCAAGAGGGATTCTTACCATGCTACTATCGATCCAACACTAACATCTACTTGGTATCAATTTTTTTATATTTTGAATCCATCTGCCAAACTTTAATAAGTATATGTATAAACAATCTTATTTCTTACTGCCTGGCATTAAATCAGACTGATCTGTTTTTCGGACTGAATCAAAAGCTGCTGTAACCGAGTGGCTCCAAAATCATGACTTTGTTGTTCATTTGCCACTTAAAGTGTATGAAGGAAACGTTAAAGAGAAACATCAAGAGAAAACGTAGAAAACCAACAGAAATTCAACAATAATAAAAATCTAAACATCACTCCAAATTTCCATGTAATTCTTTCCTCATGCTGTGATATTTTGTGCAGTGCACCAGGCCCTCCAGCTGCGCCAGGGTTGCCTGCTGGTTTTGTGTTCTTAGGTGAGCATAATTTTCCCTCCAAATGTAACAAAATTCTTTAACTTTAAACACGTCAATCTTCCTTTTGTCAGACGACTTGAACGTCTTATTTGTAAACTGCTGTGTTTTTTGTCCTGTTGTGTTTTCTTCCTTTTTGAATGGCATCAAATGAATGAAAGTCTCAGTCCTCTTGTCATTTACAGTGGAGCTTAGAAAACTTATTTCCTGAGCAACAATGAGTCATAAAGAGTTTCAGAGCCTCTAGTTTGGATCCTACCAAGTTAAATAGTAACATCTTTTCTGATTTCTTTGACTTCATGCAGCACGTTTACCTCAGCAGTCACTGAAAACCTGACCTGCTTCTCTACAAAAATCTCACTCTGACGTATAATTCTCCATACTTGCACGGCGTCTCTGACCGGCCCGGCCAGCAGGATGTGGAGTCGGACCGGCGGCACCATGAGGCCCCCGGCAGAGTGGCTCCGTCTGCAGCCGAGGCCTCTGAGGTTGTTCCCCTGGAAATGCAGCTGCAGGGACAGATGTGCCACCGCCATGGCACATCTGTCTGAACCCATCACCGCTTCAAGGATCAGCTCAGGTGTGAGATGACATCACTTCCTGTTCAGCCCCAGGACCTGTCACCTCCACCTTCACTTTGAAAAGTTAATCTGACTTTAACTCAGAGGGAAGTTCAGCGTGGAAGTGGAGTGTACACACACACACACACACACACACACACACACACACACACACATATCCCCAACCTCCACCCCCCTCACCCCCACTCACACACACACACGCACACACACACACACACACACACACACACACGCACACACACACGCACGCACACACACCCACACACGCACACACACACACCCACACACGCACACACACACACACACACACGCACACACACACGCACACACACACACGCACGCACACACACCCACACACGCACACACACACACCCACACACGCACACACACACACACACACACACGCACACACACACCCACACACACACGCACGCGCACACACACAAAGCCCCCCTTTGTCTCCTCACGCCTCGGTCTTCAGCAGCCGGGCGGCCGAGGCGGAGCGCTGGACGGACGGCCTGAACAGGCTCCACCTCCTCTGGGACAGGGACATCCAGAAGGCCAGGAGCTTCCTCTCTGTCCTCCCGTTCTGCCACTCCGTCTCCTCCGTCTCCCTCCACATGTCCCTCTCTTTGCCCCCCATCCCATGATGTCCCGCTTGAGCCTGGAGCCCCTTCTTCATGTCGGCGAGGTCTGGTCCAGGCTGTGACCTTCTGACTGACCTCTGTGATGCTGCGTGTCTCTCAAGTTCCAGATGAATAGAGACAACGATGTTTTGATCTGAGACAAAGGAGGGAGTGTGAAGGAGGACTTTTCCCTCTCTGGTCAGGTGGAGCAGGCTCCTCCTCCTCTTCCTCCTCTTCTTCCTCCTCCTCTTCCTCCTGCAGCACTCAGAGAGGCAGCAGGTGCTGGACCTGTCGCTGACACGTGGAGCTGCCTCTGTGTGGGAAGGACGAGTCTTACCCTGGACTGGACTTGGGAGGGGAGGGAGACACACAAACAGATCCCACCTGCTGTCTGTCATTAGTCAGCTGGTTTCCCCACATAATCTGCCAACTCATATAAATTCGCACACACAATCAAAACCCCTCACAGGTTGTTTGTCAGTGCAGGTCAGGCAGGGAGATAAAAACCCTCACTAGTGCAGATTGAATCTGTTCCTGCAGTGTGTGACGTCTGATGAGTGCAGATGATCAACAAGTGAGTGTCCTAAAAGTCCTCACACACACCGACAGCAGGACAATGACTCAGCTGAAACCTGTCCTTAAGACAATGGCTGCTGTTACTGCAGCGCCCCCTAATGACCTCGGCGTCACAGCTCACACACAATAACACCACAAAATACAACCTGTTGTATGTTATTGAGGTTTTATGTGACAGATCAGCACAAAGTATGGAGAAGGTGAAGAAATGACATGTTTCATTTATTAAAATATGAAGAAAATATGCATCTGAATTCAACTCCACTGACTGTGACGCTCCTAAATAAAACTCAGTTCCATTCAGAAACGCCAAATTAGTAAACTGAGTTGATCTGTGTGGTTCATTTCCAGCAGTGACCCTTGTTGATGTGGGCAGTGTGTCCAGGGAGGACACACTGTATTCAGTGTGTCCACATCAACAAGACACAGTGAGGACACGTGTGTGTTGTGCTTTTGCGCAACACACACCATAAAATACAAAAGAATCTTTCCAAGAATTTAGTTTCTGTCTAGTTTATTGTGCAAATATCTTGATGACACTTGAAATAAAACAAAATTAACTGAAAAGTCTCTTTGTCATTAAGATGCAGGAGCTTGTTTTAGATCAATAAATTCTATGGATATTGATACAAAGGACGAGTTCCACTGGCTGATTGTTTTCACTGAAAACAATGTTTTGTTTTAAGTGGAAATAATCTAGCAGTGGAACTAGAATTTGTTTAATCAATATTAAGGATGATTGCCTTACAGGAGGCGGGGGTTTATATATTGGTATTATGGGGCCATTTTATTGCACAATCAAGTAGCTATGTAAACTTTGGTTGTCAGAAAAATTCTGTATACATCAAACATAAAAGAAATTTGATGGTTTTATTGTGCTAAGGGATTTGCACAGCAGCTAACCAAAAATACCTTTTCACATTTGGGGAGTTTGCAATGCAGAGCTGCATGTTTTCAGTTAAGAGTTGGTGCTTCCTGCTTGTTGCTGATAATTAATGCAGAACTTTACAACAGTGAACCACTGAACCACCTGTGAAAGGTGGTGGTGGCAGCATCATGATATGGAGATGCAGGGTTGTTTTTAGCAGATGCAGGGCAGGCAGCCAGAGTCGTTGGAGAAGTGGATATGGATAACTTCAGGGAAATATGTTCTTGCATCATATGATTTTATGGAACACTGTAGCCAAGATTTCTGTTTAAAGATGACAGAAATCTTTGTCATACATTGTTAGTCATGAAGCAAGTGAGCATCTGCCTGTGACTCCAAAACGTTTCATTTGTAATCAATAGTTTCAAACAGAGCCTGCAGCTCACCGTCACATCAGCAGAATGATGACAAAACATTTTTTTCAACACAATTCTTTATGTGTGTTTGAAAATTTTTATTAAAATTGATGTCATTTTTTTTTTGTGTGTAACTTTTTTCTCACCAAGTGTCTCAAAACGTTTACAAACCAAATCATCCGACCTCTGTACTGTCACATGTCATTTGTGCAGGTTGATAAATTCATGTTCCTGAACCTGACACTGCTTTTACTGGCATCTTTGGAAAAATACAAACTTCTAAACTTCCTCAGTGAATTAATTATAATAAAATAAATTGAACAGCTTTTCCCACATTTTCTACATTTAGACCTGCATGATGACACTAACAAAAAGCAGCAGCTCTGTCTTATCTCTGAAATGTGTTTATTTCTTTTCACGGGTCGAGTTGAGGTCACCTCACAGGTCATCCTGACCTCCTGACCCCCATTCTGAGTTAAAACCAGATAACAGTGGACTTGTGTTCAGCTTCCATGTTGGCTTTTGGAAATCCATTTTAACTCTGGGGAATTTGTAAGCAAATCATTCCTGCCTACAAAGAACTCTTCATCATAAAGAAACCTCACAGAATGTTTTTTGGACCTCTTCGGTTCCCACAGATGTCATGTACTAAACTCTAGTTCATGTGTCACTAACCTGTGCGCGGTCCAACAGCATTCCGGCTGTCACCATACCCTGACCGGCCAGCAGGTACGAAGGCAGAACTTGGAGGCACATCGTCCAGGATGACTGTCCACAGGAAAGGTGGAGCTTCTCCTCCCTCATCTTGTTCGGACCAGACAGCAGTGCTGCCCAGGTTCATACTGTCAGACTGACCACCTCTAGTCCTCTCAGTCCGACCCCCAGCCCAGACTCTGTTTGTCTTTCAGTGTGCCAGTTTCACAGGTCACTCCACATCAGCAGCAGCTGGATCTGTGACACACCAGTTTTTCTGTAGAGATTCGTTAGCACGGCAACTCTGGACACCTTTACATTCCAACCATCCGAAATTAGTAGACATTATAGTTACTTAAGATATCCCTAACTATCTGAAATTCTTAAATTTACATTCATGAAGTTCATGAATGTAAATTTTTGGATTCATTTTTGGATAGATGGAATGTAGTGGATTTAAAATGAAAACAGCCGGCATGAAACCAAAGCAGCCAGAGTCATGAAGTGACACGCTTACAGTTTCATGTCTCAGACCAGGCCACTTTATCCTTACTTAAATCATGTAGTTATAATCTTATAAGTTAAGTAAAAATATAGGGCAAAATTTTCAATTTACTGTGCATCTTGTCTGAGAGATATTTAGTTACGCAACATGACGTTATCCCTGCGCTGTTCATTGACTTAACTGAACAGTTCACCACTTTCATTTGACGTTGCCAACTGTGAGCTTAGTTTTGTGAAAAGGTTACAAACTTTGCACATTTAGCTGAATTTGTTTCTAAAGCTTCTTCTTTTTCATTTTAGCCTCCGGGACACCAGCCTTGCTCTTTCTTCCTGCTGTCTGCCATGTTGGTTGGGTTGTTAAGTCATGTTGTCTCCAAACACTAAAGAAAACGCAAGCAGCCAATGGGGCGCGTGCTCTGACAAGCCCAACATCTGAAACTGGTTTATGACTTGACACAGGAGTTAATTAAGATACTTATAATGATCTTAAATTAAATTAAAATCAAATCAAATATAGCACACTTCAAGGCATTTCAAAGTGCAAAACTCTTCCAACTTTAATTTTAGTAACTATAAATAAACAAGAAAGGCCTCTTCACCGCCCAGCTGCTATTAATACACAGACCTCAACCCCAGTTCACGTCTCATGTTATATGTCAAACACTGAGCTCAAACACGAAGGGGCCACACATTACAGTCTGTCTTCATGTCACTAGAGTCGTTGTTTGTTGCTGAGCTGCTGGGCTTCACGGGTCTTTCTTTGGGCTCTTCTGTTCTTGGTGCTTTGTGGGAACTTTGCACCCTGCTTCCTGTAGGGCTTCACAAATATGTGCTTGCAGGGGTCATCTCCTCCTAACTGCTAGGTGACTCCAGCTGGACTCAACGCAACTGCAAGATAGCAACACGGTCAGGCAGCAGAGAGGAGCTCAGCAACAGGACACAACTGGGAAGGTCTGATTCTTCTTCAGCATATTTAGCATGTGGCAACAGTAGTCTAAATGACTGGGTTATGTAGTAATTATGTTGAATTTACAGTGAAAAATGTCTGGGTCAGCTGGTGAGAAGAACTGGAGGCAAGCACAGGTCATCACTGGTCCCAGCAGACCGACCACAACAATCATACTGCGAGACATATACGATCCAAAGCCTCCACCTTCAAAGGCCCCGGTGAGGATCCAGCCGCCGTCTCCAAGACCCGCCTCTCTGAGAGAACGAGGTCAGCAGCAAACTCCTTCAGATGATCCGTCCCTCCGGAGGAAGAGGGCCCAGTCTCTGTCTTCTGCTTCAGGCAGGAAGAGAGAACCCCGGAGGGTCCAGGTACGCTTTGTGGATGCGCTGGGTCTTGATCTGGAGGAGGTGAAAGTCTTCAGACATCAGGAAGACCCCCTGATACCCCCACATGTGATGTTCAAGCTGCTGATGAGCTCTGAACTGACTTTTGGAAAGTCACCTGAGCTGAACATGCCTTACTTCAGAGCCTGTTTCCCAGAACACCCGGGGGCCCTGCCAAACTTCCAGAACCGTCTCTGCTCTCAGAAAGTCTCTCTGGAGCGTGTGACGTGCTCAGACCAAGGCATAACAGGAACTGTTCATGTACTTAATTTAGCCTATCAGAAAGAGGTCAAAGTGCACTACTCTTTCACCAACTGGAGAACACAAACACACACAACAGCTTTGTGGGTATCAGGTGGGTACCCTGGCGACTGCAGAGCTCCAGGCACGGATGTTTTCAGGTTTCGTCTGCCCGTCCCGCCCTTCATCTTGCAGCCAGGAGCCATCCTGGAGTTTGCCGTCTGCTACCGTGTGAATGGATGGGACTTCTGGGATAACAACGACGGCAACAATTACAAACTGGCATGCCACAGTTACAAGGTGACCGTGCCCAGGGAGTGTGAGGACAGCATGCTGCATTTCACCTGACTGGCCACATGAGGGAGCTAGCTCCTGTTAATGCATGTGAGAGGACACGAATAGCTTCTATATGAATTCTTACTTTGGTTTTCAAAATGTTGGAATGTTATTCAGTTCATCTGGACGTTTATCAGTTTGGACTCTTTCTGTATTTTGTCCCAGACGCAGCGACACAGCAAATGTTATCAGCATGCAACACCTCTAATACTGTATTCATATACTGAATATTTTGCATTCAGTATATGATTACTAATATTAAATTGATCATTCTTAACTACAAGTCATAAATTACTTATTCATTCTAAACTGCTTTTCACACAGCAGATTAATAAAAGAATATTAGTTGGATCTTTTTAGTTACTCATTGAAAATTTTGTTCTGCCCTGAGAAAATAAAGACCTTGAAGAGAAAATAAGTATTTGTGAAAGAGAATCTAAAAGAAAGTTTTTTTTAAAAATCACATTGATCTTTAAATTATGTCCTTGCATTTTTTGTTGTTGCACAAAACAGAATTCTTACTGGTTGTTAAACGACCAAATTCTTGTCTCCCACATTTGTTCTTAAAATTGAGCAAATTGGAACATGAGGGCCACATGAGGGTCCTCATGTTCCCTCATGAGCCAATTTATTAAATTGGCTTAATAGAAAAAAAAAAGTTTTTTTGCTGAAATGTTTTGGTTCTAGGATGAGGTGTTTTGTTTTGTTTTGTTTTGTTTTGTTTTTTTTCCAACCGTATCAAAATTGGTGCATTTCACAAAACTGCAACAGAGACACTTTATTCACATCACACCGGTCATGTGATCAACAACTGGATGTTGCTACTGCTGGAAAACACAACAAACACAACAGGAAGTAGTGGTAGGATTATTATTTATACCACGACAAAACTCATTCAGTGTGATTTTAGTTGAGTTTCTTAGACCTGAAGCTGCTCTCCGGTCTTTTATATCATTATTTGCACCTATTTGAATTTGTTGCCTTCATAAAAGACATCTGGGCATCTTCAGTAAGCCTGGGACAGGACCACCGAGCTGTCTTAGGACAGGCGGGACAAAGTGTCGACCTGACCAAGGTTGGGATGGGTGATGATTGGTAAACAGTTTGGTGAGACAATTAGAAAATCAGAGGACGTCCATATGCCTGTCAGTCTAAGACTGGATCTGCTCATCTAGACCTCATGGAGTTTCAATCATCATGAGGAAGAGCGATCAGCCCAGAACGACTCGGCAGGACCTGCTAAAAGACCTGAAGAGAACTGGGACTACTGTCTCAAGGGTTTCCATAGTAACACTGAACTATCATGAATTAAAATCTTGCTGTGAGTAAAATGTCCCAATGTTGTTTTATTTTTAAAAAATGTTTGTCTTTGTGAAAATGATGCTTTTCATTCCACTTCTCAATTATGCACTACTTTATGTTGATGGGTCACATAAAATCCTATTAATCACATTTTGCCTGTTGTGAGGTCAGTAATGAAGAACTCCTCAGTCTCCAGTAGAAATGAAGCAGCATCCGGAGCAGTGAGGCTGATTTCTGCTGAGCGCTGACCCCATTCCTGTGGGACTTGTTTGGTTTGATAAGGAGGATTATGGGGAGAAACTGTTTGTTTGCTTCATCACAGACTCACAGCATCCTTTCACTGCAGCGTTTCCAGAAACATCTCAGCCCAGATTCCTGAGCGCTTCCTGCCAGGCTATGACTCTCCCCTCATGAGAAAACACTCGCTCATCTGGACTGGTCAGAGCTGCTGTGTGACAAGCTTCAAACCAGCAGTCATCTAAAGTTTAGCAGATTTTTCAAAGAGTGCAGTAGACATCAAAGTGTTTGACACAATTTTGAAAGAGACAAAGATTTTCATTTTAAACTTTGTGGAGGGAAAAAACAAAAAGCTTTTTGGAGCCCATTAAGCATAATTAATTTTATTGCATGGTTGTACTTATTCTAATGTGGTACCAACACTAGAGGTCAGCACTGCTTTACTTAGATAACTAAGTAACTCTGACTTTTGTCAGGGTGTTAAGCTGCTGCATTCAAGATGGAATCAAGACATCCTAGTTTAAAAAAAAATCTAAATTACTCAAGTAATATAGGGAAACATACAACAATTGTGTTTTGAGTATCATCATCATATGTCAGGATTATATTCATATTTTCTATCCTTATGCAAATGACAACTTTGTGTAGGACAAACCTCAGGATGCACTCAGTTAAATATATTCCTTGAGCAAACACAGCTTTCAGATGTTGTAACTTTAAAATATTTCTATCTAGGACATGGATGTTAATAATAAATCAATATATCTAATGCTCATTTTTGCTCCCTGCAAGAAAGGGTGGAGTATTAACAACTGCAAACATACAGCCAACAACGGACCTTACTGGGAGTTTTATTATATTTGTGACATTCAAAATGCCAACATGTCCCAAATGAAGTGTGCTTTAAAATCAGAGCTTTTACTGAAGCTCAATAACCTGCCAAAAGCCAGAGATGTCTCACTGGAGCAGCACTTAGAAGATTTGATAGAACAAGTCATCTAAATCATTCTAAGTTCTGTTCATGAGACGACGATGTAGCAGCTAAGTTGCTACGAGGCTCTTGGTTGCTGTTGTTCCTGGTCTGCTTTGGTTTTACGTGCTCTTAATCACGATTCATTGTGATGACCTTCATTTGAACTTGTAACCATATAGTCATTTATTTCCTTCACGATATCTACACCTGAACAGAATCACACTTTAAGTAGGTCCTGTCCCTTTCACAGGTTAAAACGCTCCCTAATGGAGAAAAACACAAGAAACAAGATCTATGGCTCCAACATGGGACTGTTCATTTAACCAACATCTGCTTAGATGTTATTTCGGAGTCACGTGATGGAGAAGACGATCCACACACTCTTAGATATGTCTAGATGTTAAAGCTTACGTAACAAAGCACCATGTTAGGAGAGTCACAGAGTGATGATGCTCTTAGATATGAAAACCTCCAGCTATTACAGGTTACGTAATGTGGCGTGTTTGTATTTTTGGGGATAATGGAGACTGTAGTTTCTGTAGGTTCCAACCATCTGTTTAATGGGTTGCCCAGGCTAAAAGCAACAGGTGCAGGAGGGGCACTCACTGTTGCAGTGACGCAGGAATCCAGAGATTTATTATTTACAATACGGCGCTTATTTTTAGGCTTTAGAGTTCATCACTCTCACTTGGCTCGAAACCTCATGACATATATTCAGTGTGTGTGTTAGCTACGGCCCAGTGCCATCGGAGGAACACCCGGAAGTCAGGGATATCCCCCTCAGACGTGATGAGCTCCTCCCGTTCCTCCCACACACCTCCACGCTCTTCCCATCAGCCACCGTGGTTCTCAGCCAGGAGCTGCTGGTTGCATTACTCTAACGGTGAGGGGGTCAAACTGGACCTGCCACCTGTTCTCACACTGACCTCACTGTGACTATGAGGTCACGACTGAGTCACCAGGATCAGAACGTGCTCACACCAGTAGGTTTTTCACATTTTGTTACATTAAAGCAAAACAAAGAAAATTCTAATTTTACTATTGAGGTTTTATTTGACAGAACACCAAGTAGTGCATAACTTTGAAGTGGAAGGAAATTATACTGTTTTAATTATTTATTTCCCCACTAATAACCTGAAAGGGGTAATGGCATTCAGCATG